ATTTCAGCAGCCTACTTTAGGTGGAAAATGTCATATTGTTGGTGCTATTATTAATCAAATGAGACACAGAAATTCTTGCTGAACTATTTCACATTACCCCTAGATCTACCTGGAGATCCTAATTTAATTTTTACACACCCTGTGCCTTATAACATTCTGTCTCCCTCCATCCAGACCCAGAATTACACTGCAAATGCAGAAACCACCACAGTTTTAATGTGTGGTCAGTTGAGGGCATAGCTCCTTCAAGAAAAGCATGCATTTTTAAACTACATTATGCTTTGTCAGCAGAACGCATACAGGCGAAATTCTTGTCATGTTCTAATCCTCCATGAGACTTTTTCTTTCTACATGATCTAAATTTTGCTGTCAGAAGACCACTGTGAACAGACCAAAAGAAAGAGAAAAATGCAATTCTAGCTAAGAAAATAAAATGGGTAAAATGATGTTTTGCATGACAGTATGTACATATATAACAACGGGATTGATACTGAGACCACCCCAGTGCTATTATTTCATAGACTAATGTGAATAGCAAGTACACTGTAGTCAGTAACTGTAATTTATAGACTATTAAACTCAGACTAGGGGGTCCCAGATTCAAAGCCCTTCCAAAATAAGAATGTTACTGGATGATTTTGGGCCAGTCACCAACTCTTAGGTCAACTCTCAACCTTACTGTGAGGTTACAACTGGGGAAAGCAGTTGCAATCTTACGTATCAGAGCCAAGGTAGAAGGCTCAATACAACCTTATATTGCAATAATTCCAGTAATCAGTCTTAATCACAGTTGCAGAGAAAAAGGAAGCCTTTCAGGTTATCAGTAAACTATTTCCAGCAAACCCTAATGCTGATACCCCTGCATCAATAAGAAACCTAGCACTAGCTGCAAAAGGGGTCATTTTTCACCCCTGGCAAAAGTGCCTCTGGCAAGGCAAATGCTGCATATACAAAGCCTTTGCTCTGGCTGAATGTTACCCCCAGAAGATTTCAATAAGCAGAAATATGGCTTTCAAATTTCAGCTGCTATGGCTAAATTTAAGATTTAATCTTTCTTAAGGCTATGCATTACAGTAAAACCTGAATAACAGTGCTTAGCCTATTAACCTTCCCTTTACTCAACAGCAGTTTGGCCTACAAATTTAAACTGGTATAAAAATGCTTTCCTTCAATTGATTTTAATTCTGGTGGCTGAAGGTTTTAGTGCATACCTTTGGCTTTCAAAAGACACTAAAACCACCTACATATAACCTTCTTTTGTCCTTTTGTTTGTGGTATAAAAGTGCCACACAAAACTATTTTTATGAACTCTGAGCAAATAATGTTACCCCAGTCATGTTTTGGGTTATAGAAAGAAAAGTGAAAGGCAGGAGGCTGAAATTTGGGGACCCTTGTTTTATTGCACGGATTTTGACAATGTCCTAGAAGGACTCAACTGTGGGTCTACTTATCTGTAAATTACACAAGAGAATGTGAGCTGGGGTAGGCCAGTTGCCCCAATAAGCAGGATGAAGTTAAATAAAGGGAGTGACTGCCAAAGCACTATTAAACATTCAGTCTTGACAGAGAAACCTGGCTCTCAAGATGCCTCCACCCTATGCTTTTTGGTTGACAGTATACCAAAACAGATATCCTAAACACCATATCCTGGTCCCAGAGAAAGCATCTCTGGTTGAGAAGCAGTGGCCCCTGTCAAGGTCAGGTCTCCCAGATCTGGAAGCTAAACCATATCAATATTTTATATCAAAACCCTTCTTGGGTCATTAGGCAGAAGGAGGTCTGATAGAACTGAGTTCTTAGGCATGTGGCTTCCCACAACTGGGCCTGACTGTATAGCTTCCTCTTTTGAAACAGAACCCCTCTCACAGGCTACACTTCTCCTAGATTGGGGCAAGATCCCACAGAAGGTAAACCATATTTGCTTCTCTGAACTCCTTGACAAAAGGACAAAATGTAGGGCACTACAAAAGTTCCAGGAGTTCCTTGGAGAAGCACTCGGTGATGGAGCGTATTTTTAGGTAGGAATTCTCAAGTTCAGTCCTTGGCATTACCAGGTAGGACAGTTAAAGACTCTTGTCTGAAACTTTGGAAGCCACTGCCAGTCATATTAACTCAATAGAAGGCAGCTTCTGATGTACCAATAAAAATGTAATTAAATATAGTTATACAATTTGACATGGGCCTCCATTGTTTGAGCTAATAGAAAGGCTGTCTGACAAAATGAACTATCCTCCCCTTTTATGGTTGCAATGGTGGCTATGCATCTTCTAGAAATGCACAGTGTGGACCTTTATTATTCAAAACTGACATATATAAGCAGCCATAGTTAAATACAGAAAAATACTTCAAAATTAATAGAAATATAACCATGTAAAGTATCACAAAACTTTCTCCATCAACTAATCTATTAATATGGGTTATTCAGTGGAAAAAACCCACTAAATGTTAAACTGTTGAGGAGATGAATATGGTGGTTAGTAAGTTAAAATGTGATAAATTCTGGTATACCAAGGAATTTTCTAGGAAGTTCAAGCAGAGCAATTGCTTATTAGACTAGCTATTTTCCCAAAGTATATGATTTAAGAAAATGTCACCTATGTTTATAGATGCTAATCTCACTGGATTTTATGCTCTTCCTACCTACTACAGTTGAGAACTTTATGACAAAACAAAATATGAGAATACAGAAACATCAATCTGCTTGCCTTCAGTGCATGTTTATAAAATATTAGGTGATCAGGATACAGAGAAATCACTATGAGGAATATGTGAATCCCTTCAGAAATTTCATGCTTTAGACTGTGGAGAAAGTGTGCAGTTTGTGTCATTTTACAATGGTACCTAGGCTCATGAACTTAGTCCATTCCACGACTCTGGTTGCGACCCAAATTGGTCATGAGCCAAGTCAAATGTCCCCATAAGATTCAGTGTAAATAAGGTTAATCCATTCTGTAACTATTTTTTTTAAATCACAAACATTTGAAGCAAAGTGACAAAGAACAACAATCATGGCCATAGATGGGCACAATCATGGTTGTGCTCAGGAAGGGAATACGGGTGTGATCACGGCCATCTCCTCCGCCCCCGAGCACAACCACGATCACAGCCATAGATGGGTGCAATCATGGTCACGCTCAGGCAAGGAACAAAGGCATGATTGTGGCCATCCCCCCCCCCCCCCGAGCATGATTGTGGTCATGCAGGTGCAGGGAACATGGGGGTGGTTGCAGTCGTCACCTGATGCGGAGTTCGCAACCTGAGGCAATTTTTTTCTGAAATTTCTGTTCGTGACTCAATTTGGTTGTGAACTAAGGCATTTGAAAGCCGAGGTACCACTGTATTTTTACTTTTCTATGACTAAATTTGTGAAAAAATATGAAAAATAAAAAAGATGTTTGTAAAATCTACATGACCTTGGAAAAGCTGGTCCATGGTGGAATCTGTGAGCTGGATTCTTAGAAAACTAAATTCATTTGACTCTGTTGCAGACTTCCCCAGTGAATGGTCATGACAGGGAGCATACTGTTTGCCTATAAGTGCTAGTAAACTGGGGGGAAATTGAAAGATGACCATGAATGTTACTTTGTCCAAGGGACTAGCAAAGGTACTACAGGCACCAAATAGGCATAACTTGGAAACCATCTATTTTGTATTACTGGCTAAAGATATTGAACAAGTTTCTCCTTTGTCTGCTGAAATGGGAAACAGAACTGCCTACAAGGGGAAGGCCCTCTGCAAGGAGGAAGTGACTGCTTTCTCCCTGCATCCTGTTCCAGAGAAAGGGGACTTCTGACATCCTCCTGATCCTGAGTGTGAACCATCTGTGAAGGATGGTGAATGATAATATGGAATACAACAACAGTGAGAAAAAGAAAATCTATTTTTAACGTTTAACTGACAATGGCAGAGCTTCGATTTACAGTGTGAACACCTGAAAAAAATAATATAATAGTGAAACAGAAATAACTATTACAAAAATATGTGAACAGAAATATTCCAAATGCTAGAACAGGTTAAAAAAAGAGATAAGCCTTGTAAATTACAAGGATAAGCAGTGTGCTTGGAATATACTTTTAAGATACAAGGATGCGATTATTTTACATATGAACATCTATTTTTCTAAAAAAGAATATTCTAAACTAATCTCCAATAACTTATAATAATGATCACATTCATCATTATAAATCAAATTTATATATTTAAGATAAAGAAAATGGTTAGACAAGCATTTCTGGCTTTATTCGTTAGTAAATTTTCTATCCTTTCCTTTTAGGAAATAATGGAACAGATTGCCCCTATTTTTCCCAGAAATAACAGGATTTGGGAAGCTTACAGCTGGAAGTCTCACCAGGGTGTAGTCATCCTGCTTCTGTGGTATAGCAGAGGAATGCTCTTAAGCTTTATGCTGAGAAAAACTAAAGCATGAATCCCCTGGGGCTTCCTGTTCTCAGTCCATATTGATGAGCTTGTAAGAAAAGGAAGCTTCACTTCTAGTGAAGAGTTTTTGTTTTGCACTTAGAGCTGATACCTGCTAAGACTGAGCAAAAGAAAAGAACTGACACCTTACTTTACCTCAGAAATGAAACAATTATTCCTGATGCTTTAATGAGTTTATACACTGTAGGCTATCAGTGTTGATTACTGGTCATTAGAAGGTGTTTGCATTTGTAAGGCAGCACAAACAGCTGTTTGAAATCTAGATGTCAAGGGAATTACGGCATAACTGTTCACAGAGGCAAAATACATTTTTCTAAAAGTACCTTTAGAAATAATTTGTCCCTTTTTTGTAGCACTGTCAGGGAAAAGGAGACTAGGAACTGGGAAGGATTATAGATTGATACATGAACATTTTGCCACATCACAGATTACATCAGTGAAGGTACTGGCAATGAAGGAACACCACCTCCAGACTCAACAATTTCCACCAAAAGTTAAAGGGATGCTATTTATGCTATCAAATGCTTTGATGGGTTTGGTGAATATACCTCAGACCAACTTACCACTGAGAGGATGAGGAACTGTAAATTGTTTCTTCTTACTTGTAATGGATGATGAGGAGAGTTTGTGAGAAAGAACAGCTTCTGGTTTCTTTCCTGAAGCGTCACCCTGCTGGGCTTTCCTCATTTGTACCATGTGTTCAAGTTTCTTCATCCGTTCTTGCGAGCGGGAAATAAAGTGAGGCTTGTGAACTTCCAGAGCCTCCTAAAAAGAGGAAAAATGATTTTGATTATTTTGCCCTGACTGCAGAATTTGGAAGATGGGCAACCTCCCTGTTTATTTGAAAAGCATGTATTAAGAGTATTAAGAGAAAAAAACATTAAGAGTATTTAAAAACAACAACTCCAGGCACATAAAAATGGTTTGGCTTGAGAAACTGCTACATTAAGCAAGACTGAGTATTTCTACAAAATCTGATGAAATCATGTTTTGCTTTTGCAACCACCAGTTCTTATATATTTCAGCATTCTAATGGATAACCTATGCTAGGAAGAAAACAAGGGGATCCTGCTAAGACTCCTGGACTTCTCAGCACCTATGAGACTTAAAGCTGCTGGATTCTCTTTTGTCTCTCACACTATTTAATAGATACACAAAACCATTCTGAGATGCCATTCACTGTTTTGGGCAGAGGTGTTATCACGAGCATACTGATGACAACCATCTAATTCTGTTTTGTCTTTAGATAAAATGCACAGGGCAATTCCTCCCTCCCCACCCCCCAATACCCTGTCTTACAAAAATAATGTGCCAGGGGCAGGCAATTCATGACAAAAAGGATGTGTTCATCAGAGCAAAGGAGACATTGTACAGGAATCAGTCTAGCAGAAGCCAAGCTAATCCTGTCTAAGTCCCTAACTTTCTGATAACTTAAGAATAATAGAACCTACCTGCAAAAATTTGTATAGGATGCTATATATTCTAGAATCGCATACAGGCACCGTGGCACTATGTCCAGTAGTCATAGTATACAGAGGTTCTTTCTAAACCTATGAGAGTCTGAGATACTGGATCTTACCACCAGGCAAATGATTTCTGACATTTGGGGAAAAGCACATTCTTCCATCAGAGTCAGTGCTGGCTGCATGCCTGAAGTTTAGCACTTTAAACTTCAGTGATCTCCTGCAAGACCCAGCTATAACTGGTGTGCAACTACTAGCTCAGTAAGGACTTACAAACGGAGGAGGATGAGAGTGGAAAAGTAGACAAACAGTGAGGTTACAGCAGGGGCATCTAGGATACTGAGAAAAGCTGAAATCACAAATGACTCCTGAGTCCTTTTTGAGTGCTTGAACAATTAAGAGGAGATTCAAGTGACCTCATTGTTTTGCTGAATATAAAAGAAAGAAAAGGGGAAAAATGACTTTCTCCCCCCACAGGGTTTTCAGGAAAATAACCATCACGGAACTGAGCAGAGAAAACATTTTGATATTTTACCCTGAGAGTCAGTGGGTTTGTAGGAATTTTCTCAGGCTCAGAGCAGACCTCTGGCTGCTGGAAGGCATCATATTTCTCATGAAGAACATCTGGTTCATGAGCCGTGGAGGTTGTTACCCTGTCAACCGTCTCAATCTTCACACTTTTCTTATGCTTCTTCAGTTTGATAGCTGAGCCACAGAATTTGTAATCGTCTTAAAGAGAGACAGATCTTTATTAAAGCATGTAACTTATTTGTATCTGGGTTCTTCCTGTCATCTTTGGATCTGTAGTGCAGTTTCCAAAAGAAAATGTCAAAGGATATATGGAGAATTGATTAAACAGAGGAGGGATGGCATTATACTAGCCTGGACCAGCTAGCCTCTCATATCAAACAAAATATCATGGATAGGCACCATTGTTTTGATCCTTGCTCTCTTCTGGAGCCTTGTGAGAGAAGAAAATGATGGTGGTGTACATGGGCAACAAAATGAGGAGGCAGAAGGCTGGAGAGACACATTGAGAGCATGCCTGACTGTCTTCATTTTAAATCTTCACCAATAGCTACCTTTTAAATCTCAGCAAGTTATCCCTGGCTGCAGCAGAGGCAATGAAGGAAGCCAGGTTATTCCACTGGCCCTGATGAAAGACCATTTGCCTCTGGCTCTCCCTAAGAGTTTAGCAAGTTGCGGCTGAATCATCAAACTGCAGCAGAGAGAAAGAAGCTGCCTTGGGAGACTGGCTGTCTTTGACCCTCCCTTAATTTTTATATGCAAGCAGCCATATCAGTAAGCCTTCTAGATGGTTTCCAGCACAGCTGATCATCAGAACTGTAACTTTATGAGCCAGTAATGGAGCCTGCTCATTTCCCCCCTTCTTCTACATTGTGCTGTTTCTTTGGATGGCTAAGCCCAAAGCGGGGCCTATGTGTGGCGGTGGCATAAAGTCTTGGGGGAACTTTGCGGGTTGAAAATCAGGGTAAAATAATGCCTTAAAGTAAGTACATACATAGATAAAAGCCGGCACTTCCAGCAGAAGGATTCAATTCCAATTCATTTCATGCTTTCTATGTTTTCAATTTGTGGGGTGTTATTTGTTTTAATGCGGGGATGTATTAAAAATTATGAACCCCATCTGCAGCCTTGCTAGTGACCTACTTAAAAAAATACAGGGTTCATCCAGGGCAGCAAATTAAATTCAAATGAACACTAAGTGGAATTCTGTGCTTGTCTAGGCAGAAAAAGTCCTACAATTCTGAGCATTCTCAGTAAGTTGTAGGACTTTTTTTTCTGGCTAACCATGCACTGAGATCCACCACTCTTACAAGAGTGACAACAAGAACATCTTTCCTGTCAAACAGTCTGCAGTTTTAAATATCTGGTAACTAAGCCTTTTTCAGATTGCCTCAAATAATCCACTGTTGTAATGAGCAAACACTTTTTCCCCTTGTGTCATGATGGAAACTTGATATTGTTCATTACTAACAACCCAGAGTTTTTCTGCACCTGTTTAGCAAAAGTTGCAAGTCCTCTTTGCTATTCATTGTTTGTTTTTACTTGAGCAAAGCTTTTTCTGAGTCAAGGTTTCGAAAGTTGTTTTCCCTGAAGATGTTTGCAAAATAAATGGAAAAATGTATGTTTGTTTTCTATATTTCTCCAAGCAAAAAGCTCCAAAGGCACTGCAATTACACCTGATGAGCACAATTCACATTTACTGCACTACTGGAGTAGTCTCATATGCATATTCCCATTGTACATACAGATTTGTTTCTAATAGTACAGCGAAGGAAGAATGCCTCTACTTCCAGGAGTTGCTCTCGGTATGAGAAGAGCCTTTGAACTGGGGCAAGTGTTGATTAGACTGATGTAAACATGGAGGTGGTGTCTAGAATGAGTTAGCTAGCTGATCAACATCAGCCTGACATGGGGGTAAATGTATATGAATGTAAATGAGCAGAGATCCCACCATGGCGGCTTCTTTACTTGAATATGGAATCTCAGCTATAACCCCCAAATACCTATGTCTGTCTTCAACCATTGTTATAAGAAGGGGAGCTCACCATGTGAGCAGGAACATGGCAGCATCAGTTGGGGTTTCAAGCTCCCATGGGAGGGGGAATGTAATCTAATACCAAGATAAGTATACTCCACGTGGCCATGTTCCTGCTAACATGGTTAGTTTTCTGACTGATAGTTTGGGATGCTGATGAAATCTACAACATTCTGAAATGCATTTGACTTTCTTGTATCTGAGTTGTGGATTCCACCATGGATCAGCTTTCTGCAAATCACAGTAGTTTTGTAGACTGCAGGGCAGGGGTTTTTTTTGGGGGGTGGGGGAGGGATTTGTGCAAATATGCACTTGTGCAACTCCACCTTTGTGTGAGTGCACCTTTGCATCAATGTATACAGATGACAGAATGAAAGATGATGATCAACCCATGATGCACAAATTAAACAAATCCAGCATATCCCTACTCATAATAATACCTGCACAGGGCTTATTTTGTATCACTATATGCAGAAATCACAACCAACACACTTCTGCCTGACATATTGTACTCAAGTTGGTGCACTTTATTTATTTATTGCCTTTGTATACTGTTCAAAGCTATCAAAGCTCTCAGAACAGTTTATAACTTCAGATGTTCTGGATTTCCATCAGGCCATCCAGCATGGCCTAAAGGTCAGGATGGATGGGAGTTATGATCCAAAACATCTGGAGCATCTAAAGTGAAGTGACTATGTCAGTAAGGCATGAGCACTCTCCAGTATTGCTGACATGGTAGGAAAGCTCCACTTGTGGGCCTGCTGCATCTGAAGCTCCTGTTGCACTCAATGGCACTGATATCCATTCACGTTGTCATGTTCCCTTAGGAGAGTGTGTATATGCTACATATGGCTGGAGCAAATGAAAATGGCCAGTGAATGAAGAGTTCAGCAGTGGACCTCCAGTGGTGTCTCCAAAGCTCTTCACTCCCTACCCTCTCCAAAAAACAAATTTAATTTAAAAAACACTTGAAAGGCACTAGGTTCTCCTTCCTGTTCTTCAGTCATCTGTTGATCAGCTATTTAGAAGGCAGGAAGAGAAGGAAAGAGTTGCTTCCTGACCCCACCCAATCTTTTCCCATCCCTGCAGACCTTTTTCTGCATTCCCAACCTCCTCTAGCCTTGTTATTTCTCTCTTCCCTATCACTAGCCTTGCTCTTTATCTCCCAGTCACTTCTCTACCATGTTTCCTTCTACTCCCCATTTTTAGCCAAGCTAATTCTGCCACATCTTAACTTGCTCTTTATTTCCTCTCCTGGTCATGCTCTTTCTTTCCCCTCTATCCTTTTGCCTTATTTCCCCCTCCCTTTCAGCAACTAGCCCCAGTATTTCATGTGACTAGCATGTACATTTTGCATGGCAGCTATTTTCTGGTGGCACCCACAGTAGTTCCTCAAATTCCCAAATGTGCCAATGGGTCCAAAAGGTTTGAGGATCCCTTGGGAAAGGGCACTGGGGGGGGGGGGGGGGGGAGGTCAAGCTTTTCTGGGCCTGAGAATGCACCCTGGGTGCAGCATCCCCACAAAAATGGGAAAACTGCAAATATCTCTAACTGCACCCCAGCACTTAATACTGATGACCATACATGTACAGAATTGCTTCCATCTCAGACCTGGGTCTGATCCAGCAAGGCTCCTCTTCTTTATTTATTACATTCTTATGTTCTTATTCTCTGCCCTGCCTTATGCTCACCAGTGCCTCCTCTTTTCATGAAGGACATGCTAGAGAGACTTCCCTCTCTAGATGGACAGGGCAAGAAGGTCTGCTTTGGAGGCTTCCCTCTCTCCCCTTTTGTTTCCTCTCTCTTTATGGTGGTGATGATTTTCTGCAGTAGGCCACAAAACTCCAAAAACAAAACAAAAAAACAAAACCAAAAACAAAACCAAACCCCATTTAATTATTAATGGCAAACAGGTCAATAATCAAATCTGTGAAAGTTAAACCCGTGAAAGTTGAAGTTCAACTGTATATATTTGGATATAAAAACACTATGAGAATGTGCTAAAATATATATGTTTTGGGATTCAATGAAGAGCACTAAAATGAAGAGCATTGAAAAGTATTGTGTGTTTCCACCAACACTAGTTTATTCTTGTTTGGGGTGTATAAGGCATGGCCAGAACCTAAAATGGATATAAATGCATGGAAGCTACAATTCTAAATGCACATGAAATCAATGGGGTTTACTTCTGAGTAGACTTGTATATGATTTTGGTGTAAGTGAAACAATCTCCAAACTACTCTTTTCCAATATTTAAATGCAGGCAGATACAGACAAGTTTCCCATTAACAGTTTTGGTTAGATTACATTTTAACACAGAGAAAATGCCTAATAGCCAAAGACAGCGTTATGGCTTACCTTTGGGTAATGAATCGTCCCTGTAAGTATCTTCTCCATCCCATACCATTGAACACTTGATATGGCACCCACAATCAGAAATACATTTTGCTGGTTTCGGAAAGCATTGGGCTTGACTTTCTTTGGCCTCTGAAGTGTTCTTAGGTCGATGTTTGTCTTTTGAAGAAATCCTACCTTCCACCATGAATACTTTCTTGGATGGTTGCTGCAGAAAGGAGGCAGGTATAGTTTCATGGTATGTGTTTCTTGTGCACTGTTTTCTGCTGCTTCCTGAGAATGCTTGCGTGTCTATTAGAAGAGGAGGGGAAGCAAAGTGAGAACTAAGTAACAATGGTTAAAATCTCACTCCACACTCCAGCTTCATTCTGCAAGCTTCTTTTGAATATTTTGTGCAGCACTGTATGCATGTTATTAAAAGATTTAATTCATTACTATAGCTTCATACATTTGAAGCCATGATGCTGTGTCATTGCTATCAGAAAACTGCATGAGATCATTAGCCTCCTCACTTCCTTGTTCCCTAAACTGCTTTTAATCATGTTATTCTCTTTCCTAACAAGACTACCTGTGATTACAAATTAATAGCTTCCTAACTAGCACGTATACCAACGTTTCATTTCCACAACCCAAAATTGTATGCTATGCAACTTTAAGCAACTGACTGGGGAAAATAATTGTCAAGAACACAGGACACGCTCCATAAAAGACACATTATTGGTATAAAGCCAAATTTATTTTGCAAACTTATTTCAGTGCCTCACTGTAGGTTTGATCTAGGCATTCAGTTGTAGGTTGGCTTTCTCTGGCATCTTGTTGGCAGTCATTTAACACAGAGGGAAACTTACTCTGTAGAATTGTCCTGTTGAGTTTCATGGCAAGAGATCATGGGAAGGCTAAGTGAACAATAATAAGGCCCTATCCCATAGGACTTTCTTGAGGTGATTCTCTTGGTTCTTGCAGGACTGTTTGGTGAAGGCTTGGTAATGAACACATTTGTCCACAGAATGTCCTTCACCTAGACAGAGCGAGCAGAGCGAGTGTGTGTCTATAGGTGGCATCTTTGCTCTGCACTGGCCACAGCTTGTAAAAGCAGAACGCCGCACCATCGAGAAGAAATAAGAAATAAAAGTAAAGAAAGACGATAGAAGGATTTATTTTTTAAAGTTTTTTTTGGTGGGTGGAATGTGTTGTGGGGAGGGGGAAAGGGAAGGGTGTGAGGGGGTTTAAGGTTTAGGGTAGTGAGGATAAGATTTAGGATGGGAAAGATAAAGTGTAAAGTAGAAGTTTGTGAGGGAAATTGAAAGCAATGAGAGAACCCAAGGCACAGCGAATGGCAGTTGAAAGCGGACTGGCAAGAGGGCAGGGACTCTGCCCATTTATACGAGGGGGTGGGAGAGCGGAGTTCCCCCCAAAAATGTTACTAGCTGAATCTTCCTGAATACAGGCACTGTGCAGGCACAGCACCCATATGTGTGATGCACAGAGACCATGACAAAGAATAATTAATTCAGGTGGGAAATTTTTAAAAGCGTATGTATGTATGTATTTTTATACCACCTAATAGCTGAGGTTCTCTGGGCGGTTAACGAAAGTTAAAAACATGCAAACAAGAAAGAATGGCTGTGAGCCCAAACTGTAAAGCATTACAGGGTTCCTGCATAAGACAGATGGTCAGACCCCAGAGTCACCCCCAAATTTCCCCATTCCAAGCAAATTCAGTCGGGAAGCAACTTGAGCCAAAAGTCTTTATACTTGCCATAGGTCTGTCCTTTTATTTCCAAAGAGACTGCATGCTATTTGGGAACACAACAAATGGATAGTGACACCAGTGGCAATTTTAGATGGACTTCCTTGTAGGGCAACTAATTCTACCATTCAATTTCTGTTCAAGTTTAGTGATGCTTCAAAAATCAATCATTCCAAAATAATTACTGCTCTCTTCTCCCATGAATTCACAGCCACCCAAATTCCATGGCTTATAATCTTCCACTGTTCTATAATCAGCTCCAAGGTCCACACGGAATCTTAGACTTCTGCCAATGTCCCCTGCTGTCATGAGACTTTTCTTGTTCAATTCCTAAGCTAGCGTTCTTAATGGGCACATGTATGTATATGGGTATGGGTGTGTGTGTGTGGTCCAGTCCTTATATCTTTCCCTAAATGTGAAGTGCCAGTGAGTATCTCTGTACAGGGAAGGGAATTACATAGCTTAAAGATACTGAAGGGAATGAAACTGGGCTTTTGGTCTAGTGACTATGGCAGCATCTCTATTTTCCACATTGCATCTCTCCTACCAACAGCTGCAACAGTAAAGCTTTCTTTATGGATCTAAGTAAGACGTCACGTGGGGCAGGAATAAATATAACCTATATATCTGCTAGAGTTGCAAATTATCAAATTGCTCCATTAAAGGAGTTTATTGTAAGAGGCAAAGGGGACAGTGGCATTTGCACTGGCAGTTTCAATGGCATTTTTAGTTCATTTCTAGCTGGGTTAATAAGATGCCAAATGCCTCAAAGCAGAACTGCTCATTCTTTACATATCAGCCTATGCTATGGGCAAGGAGAATGAATCATGACTTCTCCAAATCTGACCTTGCAAAGCTGAATGAAATACATGGATAATGTATTCAGCCTACCATATGAAATCAGAGTCATCTGTACTGAATGAGCTTCCATATAGCCTGAGGTGCCTGAACCTGCCTCATCTTGGAAGCTACGTGGAGTCAGGCCTCATTAGTATTTGGATGAATGATCTGAGTCCTGCACTGAGTAGGGGGTTGGACTTCTAGGCCCCTTCCAACTGTATGATTCTGTGATACTTGGCCAATGTTAGGGGGAAAAATAGGTGGGAACTGTATCAAATTATTGCGAACTAGTGTTCCTGTTCAGGGTTCCAGTCAGTCAGCCTTGTTCCAACCTTATCATCATTCTGTGTTCATTGAGAATATAAAAGCCTCATTAGGTTGTTTTGCCTTCCCCCTTTTGTATTCTTTTAAGTACTTCTGCAAACCTGGGGTATCCCCTAGACTGCTGCTATCTCCTTCTTGTGTGGGTATGGTACCATTGTGGCTGTATAACTTGGAGAACAGAGAATAACAGCACTGTTATTGTATATAATAGTTGGTCAGGTAAAACATTTGCCTGATCTAAAATGGTAGCTCTTACATTTTTCAATGTTAATATCTCTGGAACAGAGGGACGAACATTTTCCTATAAAATAATTACTCTGCAAATAGCTAGAAAGCTTCTTCCTCTCCTGCCACCATAACTTTTAAAACATATCTAATTTATTGTCTCTTTCATCAATATGATCCCAGTGGGAGACACAAGGATTCACTAGCTGGTTCCACAACCTTCTTGGTAATGGAATTAGAGTAAGCTGCCCCTTACTCAGCAGCTAAGCTAAAATTAAACTTTTTTGAGGAGAGTGAGCAAGAGAGAGGGAGAGAGGGGTTAGACTATGAAGAAGCCCATTCTGCTTGGCAATAAGAGTTCTCTCCAGCTGTGATTTCTATTAAATTGTGATGGTTTCACTGCAAACTCTTTCTGCAAGCAGGGCTGAATCATGTTCTCTGGAGCCACTCAGCTGGAGCCCTCATTCTATGTAATCAGTCACTTTCCTGTCTCCTCTGTAAGATAAAGTCTAAAATTAAGATTGCACAACCCACATCTTTTTCACAGACCGGTAAAAGATAACAGGGTTTGGGCACAGAGGCACAGTCTAGTGGACTTCCTGGAGAAAAGCTGAGCAGTAGAGATCTTCATGAATCAGGCAGGAAGCAACGAACAGTTACAAAATTGCAGGGAAACAGCTCTCCAACCTGATCAATGTATCTGTCATATGTGGCCAGGTGCCTCCCCTACCCACCCCAAAAAAAGAAAAACAAGTTTTCTTTGAAAGCGGCAGGCAGATGTTCTCAAACAGAGAACTGTGATAGGGGATTGGCTCTGACATCCTGCATTTGCTTGCAGGAATAATTTGCCACATTGTATTGGTGCATCAGGTAACTATAATCCATCTTCAGCATTTGTTCAATCGGGGCGGGGGACTTCCCCCACACTGTCCATGAGGGAATAGAATTTCAGGATAAAAATGGGAGATGGGAATCTTAAATCCTCTCCAAGCAGTGGTGTCTTTTTATGTAGACTGGTCTGTTGTGCCATTCAAATCCAGTGTAGTATTTCAGTTTGTTTTTCAGAAACCATGAACAGAAACAATGGTCTGCTCTATACATTTTTCTACCACAATGGCTCATTGTGTTATGCAAACTCAGAAAACACAACTCATAGCAACGCCAGCATCATAGAGCCCGTTGATGCTCTTGCCAAGTGGCTAGCCAAAGATTGTCGCTGATGATTGCTATTTTGCACACATATTAGCAGAATCCCTGCTGCACCCACCTCCTGCCATAAAGCTTTTTTTGGGGGTAGGAAAGGCTGATCAGGTCTGGGAAAGGATTTCTGATTTTCCCCCACTCCTACCACAGGAGCAGGAGGGGTGACCATCACCTGAGCGCTGGCATATGGTAGGGGGGAAGCCGCTCTCGCATGCAAGCAGAAGGGGCCAGAAACCACTAAGTAGCAGCACCCATTCCTCATCTGCTGCCCTTCATTCTCACTCTGCTAGGGATTAACCCCTTCCCTTTAGCTTGAACATGGATCAGGCACCCCCTTCCTGCACTAATGATTCCATCTGGAGCAGAAGGGGTGCTGATTAGGTCTCTTGTCCTCTCCACTGTGCTTTAGGGCATAAGCCCTCTTTGCTTGACCTCCACAGAGAATACAATTCAGTTCATGATCATGGCCATCAAGGAGAGGACCCTAATTCCTGGGATACCATCTGGAGGATTGAGAGTGAAGGAGATAGAGGAAGGAAGGTGAGTTACCATGGTGAGCCTGGTTATTTGGCAGGAACGTCCACACAAAAAAGCGTGGAAGCCATGCAGGGTTGCTTGTCATTATCTGTGAGCTCAGCCAAGCTCTGTTAAGTCTGATTTGCAGAATAGTCCATTAGGTCTCATCAGTTTAGCAAAATTCAGGAAGAGGATATAATCATTAGATAAGAGCACAGTCCTATTGGATAATTGTTCAGAGAGCTCCAGTCTTGAAAATTTCTGTGCATCCTAAGACATACTAGCAAGAGCTTAATAAAGAGGGAGCAATAGCAGGGGCCTTCTGAGCCTCTTCACCCTCCATATTAGCTATTTTTACTAGATGGGCCTCTGAAACCTTGCTTGGGGAAAGCATGGTAGCTGAGAGGCCAGGTGAGATGTTTATTCATAGCCA